AGCCCCCTCCCTCTAATAAGCCCTCCCTTTTTAGGAGAAGAACGTTAATGAGCCCCCCTCCATCTCCTCCTAAACTGGTAAATGATAGACTATATTAATCAATCACGACGTAACACTTCGTGTGGACTAATCCGGGATGGTTTATTCACCAGCTGGAAGTTCGGATTTGCTTTTGATCCTCGACTGGATGACCTCCAACTTCTTTTATTGAGCTTTTTGTTTTTAGCGTTCTAGTTCTTCATGGGGAACTGATACTATCTTCTTTGCTAAATTGAATAAGCCATCCTTCAAATGTAGCTGAAATAAATAAGCCCCCTGGTGTGTCCCAGGACGACCGCCGGGAAAGCCAATGATAACCGCATTAGTTTTAGGAAACGTGCCTATAGCCACGCGGCGTAAAGTGAAAATTATTAGTGCAGCAACCGCGATGTTTCATAACGACACTCACACTGAATTATCTCATCCATTTAACAGATCTGTTGCAAATGGACAAGCTTAGTATTGTTCCTGAACCTGGTCTAAAATCCGCACATGAGGGAGAATCCGTTGATGACCCTAAAGGACGAGATTTCCTTGGATCCAGGTAAAGTGCCAATGGCAACGGCGAGTAGAGTGAGAGGCATTCGCGCTGCAACCATGATGTTTGAAGCTGAGCACGGAGAATGCATTCGTGTGTTGCCCCATATAAATGATGGTCAGATTGTGGTTCAGTTTTACTGATGTGTTAAGTTGAGAGTCTGGTATTCCAAAAGATTCAAAGGAAGAGGCCCAAAGGTTTTTCGAAGATATGAATGTGAAGCTGCAATGGCCAGATCTGTATGACAACAGCGTCAACATACTGAATGTTCCACGGCGCGAGTATTCATTTGGCGAACCCAAATCACTGACTGCTCCTCAGGTTGACGATAGGATTCTGGAGAAGAGCCGTATTCATTGATACCCAAGAGAGTACAAGAGAGGCACAAGAACAAAACGACCGCGGGCTTTAATTAGGAGCAAGCACTGGCGTACAGGAAAAGCTAGCATCGGGGACACTAGGTGCTATTGTGAAAAGCGGTAGCACTTACTATGCTCTGTCCTGTAATCATGTAATGAAATCGGAGGAGTCGAGGCGTATTGTTCATCCTGGACATTATGACCACCTCGAGTATCCTAAGTTGCGTCGTGCAACTTAAAAGTGGAGCACCTCGTCACTGTAGCCATGGCGACCAAATCGAAAAGGTTTAAAAGGTGCCTGTGCATCCAACAGGGGACAAGGCGTTTTGCAGCAGATGGGGATTCTGGATCGGTGATCTTCGAAATAACAAAAGAAAACAACCACATCCTGCTCAAAGGTCTTGAACTTCTCTTCGGTTTACTAGAGCATCAATATGATCATTTTATTTTGGCATCACCATTGCAAGTTGTTCTCGAAGCTTTCACCACTGAACACCCAAATGGCAGCGGCTTGGAACTGGTTTCAAGTACATTGAGTGACACACTATTTTGAGTTTCATGCGTACGGGGATTGCAATTTGCAATTTATTTGGCGAGCAACTGTCGAGAAAGAACTCTAAAGAGAGGTGTCGACCAATCGACGTCCATGTAAGAATGAAACTTAAAATTTAGAGGGAACCAATCAGCGATTGTTTAAGTTTGGCTGTGTGAGAGGGTCTTCTCTCCTACCGTCACCATATTGGCATCGAGAAGACCCAGAGGGTGACGTTGGTAGTTCACTGTTCATTAGGAGTGACCAATAACAGTTAAGAGTGTTTTTAGTAACATTACTCTGATCGTACATGTACTCGCTTCCCTATGAAGATTAAGTTTCTCACTTTGAACAAAAATGCAACTTCCGTCACCTGGCGAGCAAATTATGATTGACAATACGATAATCATACGTTACGAATAGTACGTAATTACTTCATTATGAAGTGGTGAGTATTCATAATGGTACGATTAAAATTTATCACCAGTGTTAGCTTTGATGTTAGTGATGCAGATGTGATTATTCATACCTCTCTGTTTACGTATTATTAAAAAAAATTAAGGTGGCCCTCTTGATTCCCATCCAGGTTCTAGGATAAATTTGTTGCAGTGTTCATTAGCAGTGGGTTACAACAGTCGTCAGCGTGTTTTGTGCAAGAGAGAAAGACCTTTATTTATTCGTATTAGGGTCTGAGCCCATTCAGACGCCTTAAGCATATATATCTGTATATATCTAGTGATGTATTCAGAATACTACCGTTTCAATTCACTACCAACGTTAACTTTTTAGTGGACTTAGATAGATTATACCTGCCTCATGTATGTATGTTTGATTTTCTTCCAAAACATTAAGTTTGCTGTCTGGATTCAGATCCAGTTGGTAAAATTGTTGCACGTGCTGTTCATTAGCAGTAACTAATAACCGTTTCCGGATACAGATTTAAAGCGGATTCAAAAATTTCCACTCTGGAGAGCGTATGCAAAAAAGTTGCGGATTCCTCTGCCGGATACACCGGATACGCGTGGACGAAAGCCGTCTCCGGAAAGAAAAAGTTTCGGATTAAAAAATATCCCCATACGTGTGGATGGGGCCTAATGGACATCGAGAGAAAGACAATTATCATAGCTATTCCTTATGGATAAATTCTTATGGAACATCATTAAACGGAAGATATTTTGTCAGATTGGAAAGTAACGTTCATTCACTGAGACATGAATGACATTTAGGAAATAAGATAAATTTTTATCGTGGCTGATCAGGAACTTCGCCTGACAGAAAAGAACTCTAGCAAATTCAAATCAACAGTATTTTAAACTGAAAAATATACAGAGACTGGCGAGAAACAACTTGATACAGGCAGTTTCCATAAAGCCAAACGGTTCCAATAAATTCTGAAGGAATATTGTTTTTACAATTCTGAGCTAAAAACGCTTCAGTTTGACAGGAGATATCCCAATGACGAAATAAATATACATGTATATAGAGATTGGTGATGACTGAACATCCTGATACAAGATAGATCCCATATAAAAAGTTCTAACTAAAGGCTATAATTCAACTAAAAATATTTACAGGTTGGTAAGAAACACCCTAAACTAACATGAACGTCACTTTTCAAATAAATTTTTAAAGTCTTCATTTTAAACAAATATTTGGCTAAAAGCTCTACAGTCTAATAAGAAACATCACAATTAAGAACAAATAAATATATACAAAGATTCGTAATGAACATCCTGATACAGGAGTAATTTGTTAAAAAATTTAGTTGCTATAATTCAACTAAAAATAGTGACATTACTATCGTGAATGTTTCTTTTCCAATAAATTATATGCCGTGAACATCTATTTTATCATCACATTTTGCTAAAAAGCTATACAGTTTGCTACGAAACATCCCAATAATAAACGTCATTATCATTATTATTAATTCACTGTAAAGAAAGAAGTTTTGTTTTTTGCATTTTTACATTTTTCACACTGGCAATGTGGGAAAATGCAAACACCAACAGAAAAAAACAAGCTTTTTCGACCCTGTCAAATATGAATATTAATTTATGCGTAAATCTTTAGAAAAATATAAAACTATTTACTTCTTTTAATCCCCGCCGTTTTTACCGGGTACCATTCTGTATCTGTCTCACTGCTAACATCTACTTCTTGCCTGATTTGTGTTTCTTGTTTTTCTCTCCACCTTTAGATAACAAAAAATAACAGACATTTGCCATTATTATACATACAACTCACTATCTCTTTTCTAATTGGCCGAAAGCGTACAGGGAATTTTCGAAATCAGCGCCTGGGACATCATCTAGCTGCAGATTATACAAAAATCATGTCAAGGACACTCAAGGTCACGGGTAATCATGTCATGTATGACCGCGGTGAATGATTTCTAAAGGTAATCATGTCAAGTTCGCGCGCTTTGTGTTGCTTGCCGTCAGTGAAGAAGCAAAAACTAGACTTCCAGGTTTGCTTCGTTGACCCAGCAAGACATCGAAAAAAAAAGTTGAACACAAGGACTCACAAACACAAAAAGGTCGACGAAGGTGGCAAAGGAGCTGTTTGTTGATTATGTGAAAGATAAAAAACTGAGAGAACTTGAGGAAAAGGAAGAGTTGGCACAAACTGTGAAAACATTTCATGTCGCAGCGAGAAAGAAAGGATTCGTTCAATGTATAATAAAACAATTATTAGATCCGGTTTTTGTGATATTCAGAATGATCAAGGTCTCAGTAAAGGTTTATCGGCCTCAGCCTTCGGCTTCGGCTGATAACCCGCGACCTCATGCATTGAAGCTCACTTCGCTCACTTTTAAGAACTTATGAGAGGCGACTTGTAGCAAATCTACCTTTCTGATACCAAAAATCATTACTGTATCCTTACCCCAATCCAAATGAGCATCATCTTCGTCCGTTTCTAATCTGCGTTTCTGGCGCTTTACTGTCCATAAGTCTAAAAAGTAATGATGTATTCATAACCTAGAGTTGTTTTTTATGAGTCGTTTGCCTTAATATGTCGCGAGATGAAAATTCCAAAATCGATTAATAATTCATAAGAAAAAAACAAAAGAAATAAATGTTTAATGAGTGTCTTTATATCTGATAAAGACCGGGCTAAACTTTAGGTTTTATTATTTTAAACCAAGACAACCCCAAATCTAAATATTAGTGCAAGAATGAGTTGATCTTTATCAGAGATTTTGAAGCCGTTCAAAAAACTCGCAGTCTTGTATTATCAGGATAAAAATGCGAGGCGAGGCGGAGAGTTTTTAAAGCTGATAATATAAGACTGCGAGTTTTTTGAACGGAGAAAACAAAGTGTGACAATGGGAAACCAAGTTTTTGTAGTTTGCTTGACAGATTTACTTCCGTTCTATTTTTGGGCTTGTTGGCCAAAATAAAATCATAAGTTTTAACAAAAGGGCTCAGAACGCTGTGGAGATATGTTCCTTCTGCACAGGTCGTTACTAAATAAATGACTACAACGAAGACTTCCGACAGGCGGCAAAAATTTGACATAACATACTGCCACTTCAAAACAACAACAACTTCTATTTGTTAAAGTGTCTTTTTAAATCTAACATTACAAGGCAAGAGGTGAATTACCTTCAGGTTATTTACGTGGAATAAGGCTAACATAGTGAAGCTCACATAAGTGTCCCAGTACAAGCCGGTTACCGTCGACATCTTCACGTTGTGGGTTAATCAGTACATCACGATGATGACTGCTGATCACGTGAATGCAGGTATCAAAGCAATTTGCCGCACCATGGAGAATCACGTGATCACCCCATGTACCATCGGCCTTCATACTTTGGAGGTAGGCATCCCAAGATGGATGTCCCTCAACAAAATGGAATAGTTCGGTCCCATCCGGCTATAACAAGAAAAAAACTATTTCAAATGTTTTATTGATTCAAGAGAGTGTTCCCATTTTTATGTACTCATTTCTTGAAAGCGAGAAACGACGTCTCCTTGCTCAAGAAGTGAAAAAGTGGAAACATTTTCCCTCCGTTCCCTCTAGTTGTGTTTGTTCCTTACATAATGGTGGTTCTGCTCTCACCTTTGCTGAGATAATGTTCTTGTGTATCTAAGTTTTTCCATTGGGTTCTACGCCCTAATTATATAAAAGGCCACTCCTGTGGCCATACTTATTCCATAATGGATTTGTTATTATTGTGTCCCAGCAAACAGGGCTCACTCGAAACAAGACTCCGCCCCCATGAACATCACTTGAAAGGAACATAGGAAACATAGACACAATTTAAAGTACTGTATTTTTTTATTTTTGTTTTTGAAAAGAAGATTCCTGTCACACTCCCCTTATCAGTACGCATCTTACGTTTCCTGACTTCCCCGAGTACAAAAACATTGGTAGAAGTAAAAAAAAAATGTATCAGGAGTTCTTTTTTTCCTTCTCCTCTCAAAAAAAGGAATAAATAAATGGAAATAAAAAGGTACAATAACAATAATAATAATAATAATAATAGTAATTGCAATAATAATAATAATAATAATAATAATAATTATTATTATTATTATTATTAATCATTCAAAATATTTTCCCGATTCTGATTGGCTAAAAGCACTCGTTTAATTCACCATAACCAGTTACTGATGACCAAATTTGGAAGAATTTTGTGTTTAACGAGGAAATGACGTCAAAAATGCAGCGTTTTCGCAGGTTAAGGAACCGTTAACCGAGAAGACCTGGGGAGGAGGTTAAGTTGTTTTGCTTGTGAACTTGAAAAATGGCGGAAATTTCACACGTTTCAAGAGTAATAACTAGGCGAAAAAATAGCTAAAAACATGGCAAGAACAGCAAGAAGGCAACTCGAAGGGCGACATCTGCTATTTGGAGAATATTTGCGGAGCTGGACAAACCTAAACGTACACTATCGAAGATGAACTTAACATCGATGGATCGATGGAGGTAAGCATGTTTTAGCCATCTTTTTAAACTAGGAATTATTTTGAATGAATAATAAAACAATTATGGAATTCGGCTTTCGTATCATATGAAGAATGATGGAGATCTCGGAGGGTGTTATCCTCCTCGACCTCCATAATTCTTCATAAGATACTTAGCCTCATTCATTAATTGTTAATTATTATTATTATTATTATTATTATTATTATTATTATTATTATTATTATTATTATTATTATTATTATTATAAAAACACCTGATCGTAGGGTTATAAATTATCCTCCACTAGGACACTACTAACCAGTGTAGGATTCTCCTTCAGGTAACTTACAACTTTCTTCCTTAGTTGTTTATGAGAGAGTTTCACCCCTTGTATGAGCTCCAGCTGTTCTGAGATTGCAAAAAACATGCAATCTCCTTCTCCCTGATCGTCAGAAATAACAAAGCCTCTTTCATAAGCAATTTTCTGCATATTCAGCATAGGATCAGTTTTGCCGGCATCTCTATATGCTTCCATCTTGTATATTTCCTGAACGGCATCGTAAATGACCCCACCTATGAATGAAAGGAGCAACAATATTCACTTTGAATCTAAAAAATACACTGAGTGTCGTACAGGTTCAATACGAGATAAACAAGTTTCTATGACTCTCTTTCTTATTACACTGGCATCCAGATTTTTTGTACCTCTCTCCTCCGCACAGGCTCCCGCTGGGCACTCCAGTAAAAATAGCAATAATAAAAAAATAGCAATCGCGCGAGGGACGATGGGAAGAGGGAAAAGAGCCTCCCATCATCCTCCGCCCGCTTTCTTTTCTTCACTCTCCTCAGCCGCCCTACGACTCAAAGAGGCCTCTGCGAAGGACAGAGACATTTTACCGTCAGTCAAACTGATATCCCCCCTTTGTGATCACTTACGTTCAGTTGTTCTTCATGCCCTGTTTTTCTTTTTTCGACATCTACCACGCTGAAAATCGTACCAGGATTGCCAACATTTCTCGTCCCTGCTTAACATGAATGAATTATGCTTGAATTTTGTAACAAATATAAACCATTTCAACTGCTAATCCTCACCTTGAGGTGGTTGGGTATCACTCTCTTTCTGTCTCACTTGGTTACAGCTCATCATGCCGGAATTGTCCTCCTTGTTCTTTTCTTTACCTTTGAGGACAAGTAAATATAAAGTTACATACATTGGAATTACACACGGCGCCGTATTAATTCGGCGTGGTTGCCGCAACTTATACAGGTTTTCAATGTTTACTTATTTATTTACAAACTTTGCCAGAAGAACTGCAACACTCACAGAAAAGGAACCACTACGAGGTGTAGATTATCAAACATTAACATATAGAATCAGAGAAAAACAACAACACATTACGGCGATCAAGCAAGCTGGTCAATAACCGACTAGTGTGTGTGCACTTGATACACACACTCTTTCAATTGTGGGTTGTTTACATCATAAACAGTCTCAGTGCGATACAACAAGTAATTAAAAAGCTCTTTACTGATGAACAGTTTATGTTCCGAGGATGGAATGGTAAAGTTCCCAGGTTCTTGGGCTCTACGGCAAAAACTGTTTTGTTCCTAACCGTAGTCAGCAGAGTACCTTCAGAGGGGTCAATGCGCCTGGGTCTAGTGGGATTCATTGCTGAAATTAAAGGATCCGGCAAACTAAGCAATTGAAGACGTACACCAGATCAGTTTTCAAAAGCCTCTTCTTGAAAGTAACTTCGGTCCGGTACGGCTAACACAAAATCAATTTAGTCTCGCGCCGTTGAATTCTTTTAATGTCAAGGATAAGATTGAGAGCCCACGACAACTGCGAGCAGTATGCGAGGTTGCTGCGAACTAGTGACGTGTAAAATAAGCTTGCGGACTCGCTGCTGTTAAGGCCCTTGGGTCTCCTACGTTGCTAACACCGCGATGTGCTGATCAAGATGGGTGCGTCTTTTTGAGCTTTGTTTGCTTTCTTATTTCTTAAAAATTTTTTCTTTCGAATCTTTCTACCTTTCGATTTCTTCGATACAAACAGAAGTGCAGGAATCAGTAGCCAACCTAGGTCCAGAGACCTAAGCTTAATCAATTATTCGTATACTTTTTCTACTAGGAGTGGTCGAAGAATTTGTAACAAAATACCTTTTAAAGTTACGCGAGCGAAATTGTCGGATTAATTTCTAATCTAACTTTGGGCTTGTTGGCGAATTCAACATTACAAGGTATAATAAAGGGCCTGTTTCAAATTGAAATTTTGTTCTTTCTACATTAGCTGTGATTTATAAGCGTCATCTATCATATTCGGGCCGTGGCTGCGACAAGGCATTCAGGGCGGTTTTCTTATATCAAGATTAAACTAACAGGCTAAAAAGTACCAATAAACCTGCCTTCCTGCAATATACGTCCAAATTCATTAAGAGATCCTTACACCCAATCTGATGAAAGATAACGTTCATAACCACAACTAATGCAGTAGGAAGAGATTACCAAAGGGTGCCGGGCCCCTTATTATTCCCTCATGTATCGTGGAACCAATATAAGGAAGACACCAATACTTCCCTAGCTCTCATTAACAGCCAGCATATTTGGCTTAAATAGAACCATAGCAGCTACAGCAAATACATCTACTACACCAAGTACATCAACTATACCAACTACATCAACTACAGTAACAACATCAACTACACTACATGTAACTACATCAACTACACTAACTACACTACATGTAACTTCACCAACTACACTTACTACACCAACCACAGCAACTACACCAAATACACCAAACTACACCAACTACAGTAACTACAGTAACTACACCAACTACACCAACTTCACATACTACAACAACTACACTAACTACACCAACTACAGTAACGACAAAACTACACCAACTACACTACCTACCGCAACTAGAGCAACTACACCAACTAGAGCAACTACACCAACTACACTAACTACACCAACTACACGAACTATACCAACTACACCAACAACACTAACTACAGTAACTACACCATCTACACCAAACTACACCAACTTCACGAAATACGGTAACTACAACATCTACATGAGCTACAGCAACTACACTAACTACAACAACTACACCAACTACAGTAACTACACCAACTACAGCAAATACAGCAACTACACCAACTACAGCAACTACACTAACTACAGAAACTACAGTAACTACAGCAACTGTAGCTACTAGATCAACTAGACCAACTACAGCAACAACATTAACTACAGAAACTACACCAACTACACTAACTGCACAGACTACAGTAACTACACCAACTACACCAACCACACCCACTGTAGTGGGCTAAGTGGGCATGGAATGTCTCTATATTCGTGACGGTCATCATGAATCCATAACCGTCTTTTTGCATCCGACAACGTTAATTGAAATAGCTGTATTGTATAAAGGATGTACCACAACACGATGGAATAAAGAATTAAACTCTGAAAAGAAAGTGAAATTGGCAGAGAAGGCCACAAACCCTATCGAGCATTCGCACTAGTAGAGGGAATCAGGGATCAACGCGAGACAAATACAAAAATCTTTGCACCTAAACGGGTTTGATTCCCACAGAGGTTCAAGTTAGCTTTTCTTCACCTCGCGTGGTTACTTGCCTCTACTTATTTGGGATAACGCCCAATGGGGCCTGTAGGTCATCTCTAGCACTTTGAGTATTACGTGTCAGTTATACTACAGCCTGTACCTACAAATTTAAGAGGCTTTAAAAAAGTACTAACGAATTAGAGAAATGACAACAAATTAATGGTCTTTATATTCACCCCAAGGTATCTGGGCATCCGTCTTCATGCGTGATTCACAGTTTCTACATCTCCCAACACCTACATATCGTAAAGGAAAATATCAAGGGTTGTGTCAAGTTAATTACACCTTTAAGGTGCCGATTATATTAAAAATTGCATCCTGGTTAGCCTTACTTAGATTTTAGCTCGGCTTCCAGGACAAATCCTTTCAAAAAGACGATTGCGATTACATAAAGAGAGTTTTAGTCGTCAGTATTTTAGCTACAGTAGTTTTAATCGCAGGCGACGGTGTAAAAGAGTATATTTTAGTCCGGGCTGAAATTTCACGCCAGGTATCACAAACCGGCTGAAAATTTCAGCAAGTGAAACTCTGACCACTTAGTTTAAACTATTGGGTACCAATGGCAACACAGTACAGGATAGATTCTAGATTTAGACATTCTACATACAGAACCACAACATTAACTTAATGTACCACAGACAGCTAACTTGATTCACAAGTCTACATTTGCAATTGGATAGTGTTCAACTTTTCATCGACAGCTTCCAACCGCAAAAATTAGGATTTACAGTGGATAGAAATAAGAGGATAAAAGTTTCACTGGTGGGACCAAGGAAAGGACGATCACAAAGACTAAAAGAAGAAACAGGCATTGGTAAGTAATGGACGCTTTCTAACTGTTCAGTACTTACTTGTGCTCTTAAAGTGAGGCCAGTCTTGAAAAATGATGGCATCGCTGAGAATATGAGCCGTAACAGAAGCTGCCATTAAACTCGCAAATGGCCTCCAAGACGTCTCCTTGGATTTACTACCACCTGCGTAATCCGAAATCCCTTTAATGACGATCCACTCAATGTCGAGGCCGTGAGCCGCAGCAAACACGCCTACAATAAAGATTAGTCATACATGAAGAAGTGAAGTCATTATGACTGAAACACAGAAAATGTAAGAAAAGCCAAGTAAAGTCGGNAAACTCGCAAATGGCCTCCAAGACGTCTCCTTGGATTTACTACCACCTGCGTAATCCGAAATCCCTTTAATGACGATCCACTCAATGTCGAGGCCGTGAGCCGCAGCAAACACGCCTACAATAAAGATTAGTCATACATGAAGAAGTGAAGTCATTATGACTGAAACACAGAAAATGTAAGAAAAGCCAAGTAAAGTCGGCTGGAAAGGATTGTGAGAGATAGTTAAAATAAAATTTGACAATTCGTAATTTAACCGGCCTGATTGTAAGGGCAAGGCATCGATAAGCACAGGCCGATGAACTGAGCATATAATAAATATATAGTGATTCAGTCTGAACGATCCTGTAGTTTCCATTTAATTAATCTAGTCAACAAGGAAATTGAAGGATTTGGGCACTTACAGTGGAACCCCGTTAATACGACCACCTTCGGGCCATGGAAATTTGGTCGTATTAACGGGGTGGTCGTATTAACGGGGTAGGGTCAAATTATGGTGCAAAATGCTTTAAACTACATTCTACTACATGTATACCTTTAATCCGTTATAAATCAACCTTTTTGCAGTTAATTAACAACCTTATAACCGCAATTCAATGCAACTGAACAATGTAACAGTAAACGAAACCGAGTAATGAGAAAAAACACTGACTTCTTTCAGTTCCTTGTTATGAAGGGAAAGGGCTTGTGATTTGTCTCGAAGAGCCGTTTTCTATATTGTAGCTTACAACACTTTCACAATTATTACAAAGTCCTAAGTTCTGGGAGAAAAGAAAAGGAAATGGACTTGAAGAGAAAAGCCACAGTGGAAGGCAGCAGAAACAAGAAGGCAAAATAACTTTGAGAGCCTCGAAATGCTGCAGAGTGAAGTCTTTCAGATCTTTTATGTATTATTTATTCAAGTATCCTTTTTACTTCACACAGCAATTTACCGGATGTCATGCTAACCACTCACCTTTGCCTAAAAACATTCAATAAAATATTAGTAATGGGTTATTGTTTGTCAGATTGTGTCTGTTTTCATTCAGCAGCCCCACCAAGCATTTTGACTGGTCGTATTAACGGGGTAATTTTATAAAGAAAATAACGACTCAGGACTTCCAAAGGTGGTCGTTGGTCGTAATAACGGGGTGGTCGGATTAACGGGGTTTTCAGATAAGAAAATGAGTGGGCTTTTGTTCGGGCCACAAAAAAGTGGTCGCAATAACGGGGTGGTCGTATGGCGGGGTTCCACTGTATTTCAATTCACTGACTTGGAGCCATCCTGCCAACTGCGGTCTAATGGCCAAGGTTACCAAAAGTTTGACTCTTGCCAGAAAACTCACCTTCACCCTCTTCTTCCATAGCAACTGCTTCTGGGAATCGTTCGATGAGTGCCTTACAATGCTTGGAGCTATCAATCACTTCTACGGGTCCACTCAGAATCGTGCCATGATGTATCTTCACCTCAAGTGCTTTTGGATCCTTTAAGGGTGGCTTCCATCCATCAACAGCCCTTAATTTCACCTTTAAAAGACCGGACTTCAGTGGAACTTTAAATCCACGTTCTTCAATGCCACCCTCCGTGATTTTGCACGGGCCATATGTTATTAACTTCTCAGACATTACTATGTCTCCAAGTTTAACTTTGTCGTAGTCTAAGCTCCTACAGGAACCCACACAGAACACTGCTTTGGGCCTTAAGACGTTGACAGCGTTTAATACAACAATCATGGATCCTCCTGGAGAGGCGGAACCCCTGTAGCAGTTCATTACAGCAATGCTTAATTTCCTTTCATCTTCTCCCATATCTCCGAGGTACACAAAGCCAAGATCGTCGTGAACCGTCTTAAAGAAACCAGGATTCAGATATGACAGACAGCTTAGAAATTCACAATCCTCGACCGTCAGCAACAAAATGTCGACTGGCAGTTGGCAATCATCAAAATGTGTCACACTTTTGGGAAGATCCTGATTCTTAAGCTGATTAATGATGACTTCTGGTGGAACAGTGAGAGATCTTTTCGATGCAGTTTCTGTTAAAAAAAAAACAATGAGTATTGTTAGAATGATTAATGACCTTGTTGTTACTAAACAGTCAAAATTTTCCCACAACCCTTTCGAATAAATAACCGAGTTTATCGAAACGACATGTTTATTAGGTACATTGCGCATGGACGAGTTGAACAATAGTTAAGAAAGATGCTTCATATCTAACGGGTTCAACATTTGGAGACAAAAAAAATGTTACGGCGATTTTGTGTTTTTCTGGGTTAGAAAAAAATGCCAGGGACCACAAAAGAGCTGCCAAAATTCAAACGGGTTTAAACTCTTCTCAAGATCTTGCAACAACGTCGAGAGGGGTGTTAAACAGTCGCAACTTCCGCTACGACCATTGTCACAACATTACGTGCAGCGCAGCACTTGGGGTGGATTGAAAGAATTAACTTCGTAAGATTTAGCCAAGGCACACGTAAACTCTCGCCACTGTTTCTGTTTTAGATTTGTAAAAGTCTTGTACGTAAATAAGTAAATAGATAAATAAGGAGGGGTGATAAGGCAAAGGGGAGGGGAACTAAATGTTTCCACATTCTTTTGATTTTTGATTCACAAACTACAATCAAAATGCAATGCAGAAAATGAATGACAAGAAACCTGATCTGCTTGCAAGATAAATTAAAAACACAAAATAATACAAAACAGATTGGCATTGCACAGGTTAATATTAACGCTCAGTCATAAGCTGATATTGCTTATCTAAGATACAGCGTGCCGAACACGTTGTTGACATAATACCAGGATATCTGATTAACTTAGAAGAGCATTTTTTATGAAGGGAACTGAAATAAATGGAACATCAATAACTGAGAGTAAAAAAATAATAAACCAACCCTTAGTGAACAAAAACTCGCCAATGTTTCATCTTTAGTCAACGAGCGAGGCACAAAGTAGATACCAGTTCCCGGTCGAGAAAAATTATCAATAATGAGATCGAGGCTAAATGTGCCAACCAGCCAGTTAGGACAGTAATCTATAGTTATAATACCCGATTCAGGGAAAACTTGGACGTTCCTATGTGCAGGACAGCCACTGCACGACGTTCGTTTCACTATCGATCTATCAACACTTGGAACTCGCTTAGCGCAAGCACAAGAAATGGTAAAACACTATGTCACACCGAGAACTTGGTGACTGACTGCATGACTACAACAGTTTTTATATGTCATTAGAGTATTTATCAGTCAATAATCAGTACATGTATATAGTATATTCGATAAATTGTCGTAGCTATTTTGTATTATATTTTTTCCATTTATCGTTAATAATTTAAGATTTGTAAATTAGTCTCTTTTTTTCCTTTTCTAAATTTGTAAATTAAATCACAAGAGCCACATAGTGGAGATTTAATAAAGATACTGTATTGTACTGTACTTGTTTCATATCGGCATTGCTATGTCGGGCCACGTGTTCGATCACGATACTTGTCATCGACTTCTTCCCACTAAATATAGAAAAAAACTTAACGAAGAAACCCCACGACACTTCGAATTATAAAATATGGTTTCCACTCTATTTTCTTGATACTATTTTGATCATCTAAGGGCATTTTCTTCGAAAAGATATCCTCTATGCAGTGTCATTCACAGGCGTTTCTTTGAGACGTTTACTTTGGCCGCCATTTTATATCCCAGCATGCTCATGACGACAAGCAAAAACTTACTAGGGAGAGGATAGGAAAATTGTATCCACCCCCAAAAACGATTCAACTGAAGTTGGAAATATCTCGAATAACTTTAAAAAACGCCTGGTTACCCCTACTTTGAAAGCGGAGTTCCCATAGAACACATGATTTATTTTGTTCCGGGTGAAAAAATTATCTAGATCCTTCTTTGGGAAAGCAATGGAGAGCTGTCGGTTTTGATTATTTCTCTTTTGAGTTGGTTTTGACTCTAAATCTTCAAGAACGTTATTTTCGATCCACAGGTATTTTCTAAAAAAGGATTTTGTATTTTTTGTCGATTTAGCTGTTGTAACGGCTAGTTTCATAAAAACCTTTGACACTTTTCAATTTTATGAATATTGCCTTATCAGCACTTTTCCTCAATACTGAAGTGCAATTATCTCGAAAAAAGCCTGGTTACCCCCAATTTTTTTGTTGGATTTCAATAGCCCTAACTACAATGCACTTATCCCCCACAGTCATTATCTGGGAAAGAAGATTTCCCATTATTGGGCACCGTCCTTAATTAGAAAACATCTGAAAATGACTTCTCAAAGTCATTAATTCTTCATAAAGAAAAAATAAGTGGTATAAATGTTCAATGAGTGTTTGGAAATCACATGAAAAACTCTCACTTTTGCGTCGTAACTTTCTCCTTATGAAATCTCATGAGATCATGAGCGGACTGAACACAGTGAAACAAAAACACAGCATGTTCCAAACCATTTTCGTTCTCTCAGGTATGCACTTTAAATCACTGAGCATGAAAAAAAAGTATTTTAAGTTCCCACGCACTTGTAAGAATCAAACGATTCACAGAAGGAAAAATATTCACATCCTGTGCCGTCAATCTTGATCAAAATCGGAGTGCTAGTATGCAAAATATTTTCCCCCCAGTAAATAACAATGAACAAAAACTAATTTAAGAATCTGCGATGTATGCAGAGTCTTAATATTATTTTGCCGTTGGATATATTTACCTAAAAAAATTAAATTTTCAAGCTAAAAAATATCCTCCCTCCCCCCAACTCGATGTTCATTGCAGGTTTGTGTTAAAAATCAAACAAACATCAGTTATTAGTTTCATCTCAAGTACTAACTACACACAAAGTAAATTCATTTGGTCAAACCTTTGCGACCGTCGTTCTTAATCCTGAGGTATTAAAAAACTCACCAGATGTACGAGAATCCAACTTTTCGACGAGATCATTTCTTTCGATAATCCTGAACTTGTCTTTAAGTTTTTTGATTGAAACTTCAGTGTCCTTTGGGTATAAGCATTCAATAAATTTTTTACTGGGACTTTTCTGTAACTCGCGTAAAATATCTAGACAAATTATTCGTCAAAATTCGTCTCCGGATTTATACCTGGACGAGTAGTTCGTCTGTAGGAGAAATTCGGCGGTCACTGCCTTGAAGGACGATTTTGTTTTGCAAGCACGTGGTTTTTTGTACAGACTATTCATTGCCAGTAAGCTCATGTTTCCTCATAGGACTACTTTTTATGTTTCCTTGCTTGTTCTTTTACAGCAATAGTAATAATTTCTCTTGAACAACTTGCCAACCAAATAATCCGTGGCATTAGACCTAAACAAATCTTCATTTAGGCAGTCTCTCGTTTTATTTCAGTCGATCCTTTTCATTGCAAAACAGATGTAAAGGAACTTTGCCTCTCTCAGTGTTGTCTTATTATGCTTAACCTTTTTTATATTCTTCACTTTCTCGGAGGAAATGAACATATTAAGTAAATGCTTTAACGTTATCCATTATTGTGTTCCCCATTAACTTAACAGCTTCCAGGCACTAGTGACATCACCTGTTTTAACCCTGTTGAGCCTCTTGTCGAAGTATGATCTCAGAAGGTTGAGGGAGTTATGTTCGAAGCCATAAGCCTTCAGCTTCTTTACAATAAGAGAATGGCAAAAAGAATCAAAGGCTTTACTCATATCGTTAGTTAGGATATATGCGAGTTCCTTTCTATCGACAGCTGATTTCCAATCTTCTACTAAACTAAGGGTTGATTTCCAGTGTCGCGTAATTTTTACGTGCGTACGTGCGTAAAATTTACTTTCGCAAGTAGAATAAAGGCAATGCATGAAAGGTCGCTCGTAAGCGTAAAAGTTGAACCTCGCTCAACTTCTCGTTTAAGCTCAGCACTTTTTTTCCTGCCTCTATTTTATTTTCGTGATTAAAATTTACGTGCGTTACCGTGCGTAGCCAATAGCCCGTCAGTGGAAATCAACCTTAAGCAAAGTGGTCTGACAGCTATGGTAAAAATCCATGAGCCCCAAAATTAAACATTGCAAATTTTGCAGGAGCACCTAGGGCTTTCCACAAGTTGCTCGGCGACTTTTTGACAACTTCTCGTATTTCGAGCAACTTTTTGCAATCTGAGCAATTTCTCTAGTTATCTTCTAATTCAGAGATATCGGAAAATCAGTGAACATATTTTATTGATAACAATGCTAACTATTAAAATCCTATTTACAATTAATTCACTTAAAAAAAACTACTCCGTCAAGACACTATTTTCAATTCCTTTCGTTAAAAAAAAACACACTTAGTTTTGATTAGAAAGAATTCATTTAATTAAAAAAATATATATTCGAATTAAAAACATTTCATTTCAATTAAAACAATCCGTTTCCATTAAAAAAAAAACCAAACTAGTTAGTTAATCAATCGTGGCCCTGAAAAAACTTAAAGGAAAAAAAACTACAAGTTCTTAAGAAAATGCTTTTTTTGTGAGAAGGACTCTTAAACGCTTACAAACGTCAACAAATATCTAAAACTATAATTTCTACATGTTTGCACTGCTCGAAATCGCGCGCATTTACAAGGCCCTGAAGCTTTTTGCTGACTTGCAAAGACCCATCTGTTATAAAGATCCTATTAAATATAATCGTTTAAAGTTTGCTTATCATTTTCACATAAATTATGACCTAAATTTGGAAACCGCTGAATTTCTCGCATTGGGTCTTTGCGATTTTGGGCAAACTCTGTTCAACGCAAGGCACTAATGCGAACTATATCTAGCCGAGAGATTTTCACGAAAAAATGCCGGCAACAGCAGAATTTCGACTCATACCCCAAAGAGGCGTGGCACTATAACCACGTGACATTTATTCCGATCGCCAAAGATTTTATGCTATATTGTAGATTGATCTATATGTTATTCGTGTTATGTGTTAGACTAACGATCAAAATAAACGTGGGGATACCAGAGAGCTTCAAAGTAGGATGGTACCCTCACAAAATAACTGGATCGAGTCACCTTAAAGAAATACAGTCAAACCTTCCTTAAGCAACCACCCAAAATGCGAAGACTTAGTGGTCGCTAACGGGAGGTGGTCGCTTACGAAAATCGAACCACTTCCGAGAAAAAGTCCGGGCACATCTACTTTAGGGAAGAGAATTTATTGCATGCAATTTCCAAGTTCCCAAATGTGCAGTTCCATGTTTTTACTAAACGTCTTCGTATAAGTACAATAGTGCACACAGAGACAATAAGAGATCAGAAAACTCGTCAAGTGGTCGCTTACAAGAGGTTAAAAACAATAGAAAATCATTAAACCGTCAGCCCCAAATAGTGGTCGCGGTCGCTTACAAGAGGTGGTCGTTTGCGAGAGGTTCCAACAGTAAGACCTAAACTGGGTAAGTTTTGGTGTTTTGGATAGGTTGTCGCTTACGAGAGGTGGTCGCACATGGAGGTTCAACTGTAGGCGGATTCATCGTGACATCATCGTTTATACTTTTGCTCATTAGCATACGAGTTAACCCATAGAAGATATACCAGTTAGGTTTAAAAATAAAAAGAGCTGGTTATTTTATACAGTTTGTGCAAGTTTCAGCTCTTTGCAATCAGTAACAAAAAATAGCAGCAATTAAAAATTGCAGAATTGCTGGGTGGCAAAACGTTAATGAGCTCATATATTCTTTCTAAATTTTGGGGTTTTTCAAAGAGAATTTCTCCGTAACTATTTTGTATATCAGGCGCAAATTTTCAGAGATAACTGAAATTATTGTGCTCTTTCAATTTTATTAGCCTCATCAGATAATGATAAGCCTGTGCTAATGAGGCGTAAAATGTAAACAAGGATTCGCCTAAAATTTTGGCCACGCAAGATGGACGATTTATTAATTAAATATAACTAATAATCTTCAAACAAAGTTAATGAGCTATAATTATTTGAGTTTTTTACGCTCTGGCAAAGGTGAGGGCACGAGAAAAAGGCACCCAGAGTAAATAAAGTACCATTAAGAAAGAGGGGGAGGAAGGGAGGAGGAGGGTCAAATTCGCAGAGCGTGTTAAGTCTGGAGATCAAGAGGAAGACTTCGAGGAACACACCTTATCCTGAAATGAAGTCGAGGCTAAGTCGGTACTTTTCCGGACGAGCTCGTGACTAGAAGTTTTACAGCTAGCAATACTCCGGCAAGAAATTTCCCAGCAAGTGATTTTCCGATTTATCTCGTGACCTGACTTGTGATCAATACCTGACTATTTTGTGTCAAAAATATCCCACGATACTACACACTAAACCTTCCAAAAAGATATATGGTAATGTATGAATTGAGTTCAACACGGTACTAACAAAGTCTTGCTACTGACAAGTAGCACGGGAAAGCTACTAGGTAGTAGCACGACGTTGTTTCAAAAGTCGTGCCTCTGTCGTGCTTTAGTCGAATTTTTTTCCCAACAACTGAGTTCGGCATGGCAGTAAAACAACGTTTGAAACAGGCCTAAATTATCGTTGCGAGCGTAAACAGCAATCAAGGTGGTTCTGTTACTGCTTTATGACGTAGAATGCGTGAACCCCACGATTTAAAAAAAAATTCGGGCTGAAATATACTTTTATTTTGGTTTGAAAAGGAGCAACGTTAAATACAACGACATTTCATTTTCATTGTTTCAAGCTAAAAAGTAACATTGTGTAGGGGGTAGGGGTAAGGAAAAGAGAGGATTGTAGTCCCCCTACTTTCAAAACAGTTGTGCTGTCCCTGTGCAAACGGGAAACGGCGAACTATGGCAAAAGTGAAAATAATCAGTGATACTAGTAATTACTGGCATTATAAGAAAAAGTAAAAAAAAAGAGGTACCTCTCGTAGAGACTGCGAAGTTTTTTCCACTCTGGTTGCGTCCGGTTACATCTTCCCTCTGTGAAGAAATAAATAAAGTTTTAATGGTTGCTCCAACTTTTAGCACACTG